AAAATTACCTAATTGAAATGAAATTAGACCTTAAGTGCCTCCTGGTATTAGACAATGCTCCTGGTCATCCTTCAGATGTGGCAGAGAGATTTTCTGCGGAAATGAGCTTCATTAAGGTCAAGTTTTTGCCTCCTAATACCACTCCTCTCCTGCAGCCCATGGACCAGCAGGTCATTTCCAACTTCAAGAAACTGTACACAAAAGCTATCTTTGAAAGGTGCTTTGTAGTGACCTCAGAAACTCAATTGACTCTAAGAGAGTTTTGGAGAGATCACTTTAGCATCCTCAATTGTGTAAACATTATAGGTAAGGCTTGGGAGGAAGTGACTAAGAGGACCTTGAACTCTGCTTGGAAGAAACTGTTGCTAGAATGTGTAGACAAAAGGGAATTTGAAGGGTTTGAGGCTAACCCTGGGAATCCTATGCCAGTTGAGGAATCCATTGTGGCATTGGGGAAGTCCTTGGGATTGGAGGTTAGTGGGGAGGATGTGGAAGAGTTGGTGGAGGAGGACAATGAAGGACTAATCACTGATGAGCTGCTAGATCATCTTCAACAGCAAGAGGCCACGCCTGAGGAAACTGCTTTGGAGGAGGGGATAGAGAAATTGAGGAAGTTGCCTACTTCAAAGATTAAGGAAATGTGTGCAATGTGGCTTAAAGTGCAAACCTTTTTTGATGAAAATCACCCTCACACAGCTATTGCAAGCCGTGTTGGCAACCTGTACACTGACAATGTTGTGAAACACTTTAGGAATGTCATAAAGGAACAGGAGGTACAGGCCTCCATGGACAGATATGTTGTGCGACAGAGGTCCAGTGACTCTCAAGCTGGTCCTAGTGGCATTAAAAGAAGAGGGGAAGTAACCCCGGAAAAGGACTTGCCACCTCAAGTCCTAATGGAAGGGGATTCCCCTTCTAAGCACTAACACCATCAACACTCTCCCCTCCTCCCATCCCATCAGTCATCACCAGATCTTCAATAAAGGTAAGTGTCATGTAACTGTGCATGTCTTCTTCAGTTTGTGTGTATTAAAATTAATATTTCATGTGGTAAAAATTTTTTTTTGTTCATACTTTGGGGTGTCAGGAACGGATTAATTTGATTTCCATTATTTCTTATGGGGAAAATTAATTCGCATAATGATAATTTCGCCTAACGTTGAGCTCTCAGGAATGGATTAATAGCGTTAGGCGAGGGTCCACTGTATAATATATGCCCCTTACCAAGATATGGTTTCATCATTGTTCTAACCACATCATCAGAGATGCCCAATAACTTCCTGGTATTTTGCAATGTATATCTTCCAGTGTACACAATAATATCAAATACCAGACCACTGTAACAATCACAAAGCACAAACAACTTTATACCAAAGCATTTCCTCTTGCTTGGAATGTACTGCTTGAAAGAGAGTCTTCCTTTGAACAGAATCAAAGACTCGTCAGTTACAAGCTTCCTGAAGGAGTAAAAATACATATTGAATTTCTCTTTCAGATACACAAACACATGCCTAATCTTATATAACCTGTCGTTTCTGTCAGGCCTGGTTTTGTCTGGGAAGTGAAGCATACGTAACATTAGCACAAATCGATTCACTGGCATTATATCACTGAAACCTGGGGTTGCAATCAGGTGGTCTGTTGACCAGTATGATTTCACACTGTGCTTATACACATGTGGCATAAGCATTATTGTGGCAAAGAAAAGATACATCTCAGCCACAGTTGTCTCCTTCCACTGGCGTAGACGTGATTTTGGTGAAAGTATTGTGTTTGCCATGGTGTACTCGTAGTATGTGTTGCTTTCCATGACAATACTTTCCATCAGGGGTTCATCAAAGAATAACTCAAAACATTCCAGTTCACTGGCATTGTTCCCAAGTGTACTGGATGGCCGTATTCCACTTTGGCTGTCATCAAACTGGTGGGGATTTGGAACAATATTGACAGCTTCCTGCCAATCCCAGGTGCAGGTTGTGGAGGTTGTGGTTGTGGAGGCTGTGGTTGTGGAGGCTGGTGTGGTGGGTGGGTGGGGGATGGTGGCCTTTGTTGTAGATCAGCTGAAGCAGTGGCGTGGGTGGCAGCGTGGGTAGCAGCATGGCCCACTGCTGGTGCCTCACGGCCGGCACCACCACTACCACCACCATGCACATTTTCCATTCCATTTGCAACACTATCATCATCATTTTCACTGTCTGTTCCTGTTGTACAGCCATGGGATGTACTCTGAGATGTACTCCTTTCCCTTGGAATAGCATATGGCACACTACCAGAGGGCATATATCGTTGTATATACTGATGCTTCACTGGGGAGTATTGCACTTCACTATTACAACTGGAACTAGTTTGTTAGGTAAGACACATATGCAACAGTTAGGTATCTTTATTTCGAAATGTTTCGCCTACACAGTAGGCTTCTTCAGTCAAGTACAGAAAAGTTGATAGAAGCAGAAGATACTTGAAGACGATGTAATCAGTCCATCACCCTTAAAGTTTTGAGGTGGTCAGTCCCTCAGTCTGGAGAAGAGCATTGTTCCATTGTCTGAAACAATATGAAGTTGAAGTGACAGGACGGAGCCTTATATAGTGCCAGGAGGTGAGACGTAGGTTGCTTTGGGAGGGCAGGTCCCTCTCAAACCCAGCCGTTCTCACTAGTAGAGGTTGTCGAAGTTGATGGTCTGTACTAGACTGAAGAAGCCTACTGTGTAGGCGAAACGTTTCGAAATAAAGATACCTAACTGTTGCATATGTGTCTTACCTAACAATCTGTCGGTATTTTATACCATTTTAATGTTCATTCTGTCAGACACTGCAACACAAGGGTATCTTGGTACAGACCATCAACTTCGACAACCTCTACTAGTGAGAACGGCTGGGTTTGAGAGGAACCTGCCCTCCCAAAGCAACCTACGTCTCACCTCCTGGCACTATATAAGGCTCCGTCCTGTCACTTCAACTTCATATTGTTTCAGACAACGGAACAATGCTCTTCTCCAGACTGAGGGACTGACCACCTCAAAACTTTAAGGGTGATGGACTGATTACATCGTCTTCAAGTATCTTCTGCTTCTATCAACTTTTCTGTACTCGACTGAAGAAGCCTACTGTGTAGGCGAAACGTTTCGAAATAAAGATACCTAACTGTTGCATATGTGTCTTACCTAACAATCTGTCGGTATTTTATACCATTTTAATGTTCATTCTGTCAGACACTGCAACACGAGGGTATCTTGGTACAGACCATCAACTTCGACAACCTCTACTAGTGAGAACGGCTGGGTTTGAGAGGGACCTGCCCTCCCAAAGCAACCTACGTCTCACCTCCTGGCACTATATAAGGCTCCGTCCTGTCACTTCAACTTCATATTGTTTCAGACAACGGAACAATGCTCTTCTCCAGACTGAGGGACTGACCACCTCAAAACTTTAAGGGTGATGGACTGATTACATCGTCTTCAAGTATCTTCTGCTTCTTTCAACTTTTCTGTACTCGACTGAAAAAGCCTACTGTGTAGGCGAAACGTTTCGAAATAAAGATACCTAACTGTTGCATATGTGTCTTACCTAACAATCTGTCGGTATTTTATACCATTTTAATGGAACTAGTTTCAAGAGCTTGTAGTTCATATTCACTATCACTATCATCACAAATGCTCACATCTGAGTCTGGGATTTGGGAAAATAGGAGTTTCTTCATTGATTCTGGTACAACTGAATGTGAACAAGACGGCCCAGCAGCAGGGGTGGAATGCTGAGGGTCATCTGGGTTTTCCTCACTATTACCGATATTATGGCCATTAGTTCCGGTCAAACCCTCACCAAAACCTTGAAACTCATCTTCACTGGCACTTCCATTTGTATAAGAACTGTCACTGGGGAACAAAAGTGTCCCAATTCGCCGAGGAGTGAGGAACTTCTTACCGCGAGGCATGGTGGACATTGTTTACAAGGATGGTGTTCCCACAATGCACCACTGGGTCCCAGATTTTTTTACTACTGCGCACACCCACCACAGACCCATTCTCTCACATCTAGGCCTACCAGCCTTTTCCCGTGAGATTTGATGGCGCTAGAATTTATGCGTACTAGTACATCAAAAAACCCTGCGCGTAAGCCGTACTAGTACTGCCGAAACCCTGAAAGGGTTGAAAAACAAAGAAGGGAAGTAACCCCTGATAAGGACTTGGTACCTGAAGTCTTTATGGAAGGGGATTCCCCTTCCAATCAATAGTTACTTCTCCCTCTCCCCTCCTCCCATCTTCCATACACCAACAAGAGTCTTCAGTAAAGGTAAGTGTTATGTTATTATTGCTTTATATTGATTTGTCATTCTTTTCTGTATTTTTCTGTATGTAAATCTATATTTAATCCCTAAAAAATTATTTTTTGTTAATACTTTTGGGCGTCCGGAACATATTAATTGGATTTACAATATTTCTTATGGGGAAAATGGTTTCGGTTTTAATGAATTTCGGTTTTCGACAGACTCTCTGGAATGGATTAATCACGAAAACCGAGGGTCCGCTGTGCATTACAAGTGGAACAATATCTGGCTAAGCATTTACCCATGCTGAGATGCATCTAACATTATGAGAAACCCTCTCATAATATTAGATGCATTTCAGCATGGGGCTTTTCCGCTGCTGTTGCTCGTGTGATCATTTTTTTTTTGTTAACTTGCTTCAACACACCATCAGATTTTGAGTTTATTCAGATTCCACTCATTTTAGCCTTATTCTGTTCATAATAAATGCACTTTTCTGTATTTTTTTTTTTTCAAAATCTTTCCATACAGACAAGAAATTTATTTTCAGTGTTTGTCACAGTTAAAGGGTTAATGTATAGTCTGGTGTTAGTTTTACATGTATTGCACAATACTGTAACAAGTCTTCATTCTCAGTGTTCCTGCAGCAAAGTTTTTAACGAGAGCTAAGAGATAATTCATATTGTAATAGTTCCAGTCAAGCCTTGTTAAAGTCTCCTTTTTTGTCTTTCTGCAGGTCATCCTTACACCAGAAGAATTACAGCAATGATGCCAAGACCCTGTGGCATTAAGCTGTGTGTGTATGGCACAGTCAACAGAAGAATTACTGCAGCAGTGACAAGACCCTGTGACATTGCTATGTATGTGGAAGAAATACTGTAGATACAGTAGTGTCAGCAATTATTGTCATAAAGCTCTCCATATTGTCAAATCTACATGTTGTGTCAGTTCTTAATATCTTCACGCTTAGTGTGTTCCAGCATTCTGGAGCACATTCTTAACAGCATATTGAAACAAATTTACTCGGTTAAATATCATCACTGAATACTTATAACATTGTTCAACACCCATGACAGTAACAACATATTCCTCTGAAGTATTATACATGCATAATCTATGTCTAGAGATGTAAAATTAACTCAGATATCAAAGTAAAGGAATATTTTAAATTGCTTTTTTATACTAGTAAAGAAGGGTATATAAGTATTTCAGGTGCTGACTAATTCACTTTGATGTCTTTTGGATAATTTACAGTGTTGTAACTATTATGAAGTAATATACTTGAATATCTTTTATACTGTTTACTCAAAAATCAATTATGTACAGGGATTCTGTACTTCTTCTTTCAACAAACCGGGCATATCCCACCGAGGCAGGGTGGCCCAAAAAGAAAAACAAAAGTTTCTCTTTTTAAATTTTTTAATTTATACAGGAGAAGGGCAACTAGCCCCTTGCACTCGGCATTTTAGTTGCCTCTTGCATGGCTTATGGAGGAAGAATTCTGTTCCACTTTTCCATGGAGATAAGAGGAAATAAACAAGAACAAGAACTGGTAAGAAAATAGAAGAAAACCCAGAGGGGTGTGTGTACATATACGCTTGTACATGCATGTGTAGTGTGACCTAAGTGTAAGTACAAGTAGCAAGACATACCTGAAATCTTGCATGTTTATGAGACAGAGAAAAGGCACCAGCAGTCTTATCATCATGTAAAACAAGTACAGGCTTTTGTTTTACACTCACTTAGCAGGACGGTAGTACCTCCCTGGGCGGTTGCTGTCTACCAACCTACTACCTAGTCTGTACTTCATACTACTTCATATTATTCCCTGCTTCATATTTCTTACAGTTGGTAGGATTCAGATAAAAAGTGCATGATACTCATATGTTCTGGCAATATTATTGGCTTAAATCTATCCTCCACTAGTCTTAACGTTTTGATGCTGTAGTTTAAAATGAATACACAAATGTTTAATACTGGGTACTGCCATTAATGCCACAAAGAACAAACATACTTGGTGACAAACAAATTAATTACCTTTTTTTGTTTTATCAATAGGAAAGTTGAACATAATTTAAGTAAGCATTTAATTGTTTGAGTCAGTAATTTACAGCACCAATCTGGAGCCAGTTGTCAAATATAATATGACCTTTTATACACTTAGTACAAATACGTAAGAGTAAGTACATAAGTAGAAGTATATTATGTTCATTGCTTAGAACACTAAAGATAAGTCAGATTCTTTGCAGTACATCAGTATTCAGTGAAATCAAAATCATTTTCATTATCATTGATTCTGTTGCAGTTCAAGAATGTTCATATTTAAGAGAATTCATTTAAGTGTTCAAAATTCTTAATGTACAAATCACCTCTAATGTATCCTGTAAATGATCATACAGTGGAGAGCTCAGTTCAGGCTCAAAAATGTACATCACTCTCGAAAGTAAAATCATCTATAATAAAACAGATAAGAGTTCACACAGAGGTAAAACCATACCAGTGTTCAGTGTGTCTGAAAGACTTTACACACAATTCAAATTTAAAGGAGCCCTTGGGAGATCATACAGAGGAAAACTTGTTGAAATCACATCAGTGTTTATTGTGCTCAAAATCATTTCCTAAAAAGTCACATCTACAAAAGCACTTAAAAGTTCATAAAGAAGAGAAGCCTTATACTTGTTCAGAGTGTCAAAAAGTGTACATAAATCAAGGAAGTTTACTAAGACATTTGAGAAATCATCTTGGAGAAAAGCCTTATCGTTGTGCAGTGTGCCAGAAAGACTATTCAACTAAAGAAGTTCTAAAACGGCACTCAAGAATTCACACTGGAGAAAAGCCATACCAGTGTTCAGTGTGTCAGAGAGACTTTTCAGATAAAGCAGTCCTTATGCGACATATGAAAGTTCATACAGGAGAGAAATCCTACGAGTGTTCATTGTGTCATAAACATTTTTCTCAAAAGTCTAATCTAAAACAACACTTTAAAATTCATGCACAAGGGAGACTACATCAATGTTTAATATGTTCAAAAACATTTTCAGAAAAAGCTCATTTAGATCAGCATCTTGTAGTTCACAATGGAGGGACACCGTATAAATGTTCGCTGTGTTCAAAAAGTTTTTTAAGTAAAACAAAACTAACAAGACATACTAGAATTCATACAGGAGAAAAGCCTTATCAATGTTCAGAATGTTTAAGAGGTTTTTCAGATAAATCAATTCTTGTACGACACATGAGAATCCACACTGGAGAGAAATTTCAGTGTTCAGTTTGTTCAAAAAAATTTTCACGAAAAGCACTCCTCTGTCAGCATTTGCGAGTTCATACAGGGGAGAAACCTTATCATTGTACAGTGTGTCCAGAACGCTTTTTAAATAAAGCAAAGCTTAAGAAGCACCTGAGGATTCATACAGGGGAAAAACCATTTCAATGTTCAGTGTGTCTTAAAGACTTTTCAGAAAAAGTAATTCTAGTAAGACACATGAAAATTCATACAGGAGAAAAACTGTATCAGTGTTCGGTGTGTTCAAAAAGGTTTTCTCGGAATTCACATATGGAATTGCACATGAAGGTTCATGCAGGAGGGAAGCCATACAACTGCTCAGTGTGTATAAGAGGCTTCTTGCATATATCAAGTCTAAGACGGCATGTGAAAAATCACATAGCAGAAAAGCCATACCAGTGTTCAGTGTGTCTAAAAGACTTGTCAGATAGCATGCATCTGATAAAACACATGAAAATTCATGAAGGAAAGAAATATCAGTGTTCATTATGCTCAAGGAAATTTTTACGAAAATCAGATTTAAATCACCACTTTAAAGTTCATTCACAAAGAAAACCATACAAATGCTCAATCTGTGTAAATGACTTCCTTAATAAAGCAAGTCTAATACAACATAAGCAAAGTCATACAGGGCAAAAGTTATTTCAGTGCTCAATTTGTCTAACAGAACTGCTAGATAGTACAAAGTTAATAAAACACATGTTAACACATAAAGGAGATAGACAGTATCAGTGTTCAGCGTGCTTAGAGTTCTTTACTGAAGAATTTGGTCTAGAAATCCACAAGAAAGCTCATTCAGAAGGTAGATCATTTCAGTGTTCAGTATGTCTAGAAGCCTTTGAGGATAAATCAACTCTAGAACAACACACTGTTATTCATACAGAAAAAAAATCTGAAGAGAATTCAGTGTGTGTAGAAAATTTTAAAGAGGAGAGAGAAGTAATAATTCATGCAGAAGATATATCTGAGAAGAGTCCAGTGTGTATAGGAGATTTTAAAGGAGAGATTGAAGTAACAGTTCGTGCAGAAGAGATATCTGAAGTGAGTTCCATGTGTGTACAAGATTTTAAAGGTAAAGAGAAAGATGTTACACTTAATACAGAAGAGATGTCATACCAGAGTTCTGTGTGTGTTCAAAATATTTTAGGTGAAGGAATTCAAATAAAAAACACAGAAATTCATTCTGAAAACAGAAGTGAGGAATGTTCATTGTATGTAGAAGACTTGAAAGACAATGAAATTCTAGTTGAAAATGTTACAGTTAATACAGGAGATGTATTATATCAGTGTTCAGTGTGCCAAAAAGACTTTTCTGATAAAGAAATTGTTATGCAACACACGGAAGATCATGCAGACAATAAACATGATAAATTTTATGTGCGTGTAGAAGATTTTGTAGATACAACAATTGTAGAAGAAGAGATAGCAGATCATGTAAAAGAGACATCATACCAGTGTTCAGTGTGCCTAAATGACTTTTCAGATTCAGAGAGTCTTGTGCAACATATGAAAATTCACAGAGAGAACCCTGGCAAGAGCTATACATGTGTGGAGAACATTGAAGATAAATCAACCCTAGAACAACACTCCACAGTTCCAACAGAAGAGAAATATGAGGAGAATTCAGTGTGGGCAGAAGATTTTAAGGGTAGTGAGAAAGAAGTGACAGTTCACACAGAAGAGATATACCAGTGTTCAGTGTGCCAAAAAGATTTTTCAGATAAAAAAGTCCTCGTAGAACATATGATAATTCATTCAGAAGAAAGACCTTATCGCTGTTCAGTGTGTGCAAAAGAGTTTAGAAATAAAGCAGTTTTAGAACAACACGTGGAAAGTCATACAGGAGGGAGGCCACATAGTTGTTCAGTGTGTTTAAAAGGTTTTTTAACTAAAGCATGTGTAATAAGACACATGAGAGTTCATACAGGAGAAAAGCCATATCAGTGTTCAGTATGTTTAAAACACTTTACAGATAAAGCAGTAGTAATACGACACATGAGAATTCATACAGGAGAAAAGCCATATCAGTGTTCAGTATGTCTAAAAGGCTTTACACAAAATTCACATCTAAAGTTTCACATGAAGGCTCATACAGGGGACAACACAGAGAAATCACACAAATGTTTAGTGTGTTCCAAAAAGATTTCTCCAGCACATTTAGAACAGCACTTGAGAGTTCATTTGGGAGATAAACTATATAATTGCTCACTGTGTCCAAAAGGCTTCGCTAGTAATGCAAGTCTATTAAGACATAAAAAAGTTCACACAGGAGAGAAATCATATGAATGTTCAGTATGTTTCAAAAAGTTTTCTAGAAATTCTCATCTAAAACAGCATTTCAAAATTCATACAGGTGAGAAACCATATCAGTGTTCTGTATGTTCAAAACAGTTTATTCAGAAAGTACAGCTAGAGCAACATTGGAGAGTTCATACTGGAGAGAAACCGTATAATTGTTCAGAATGTCTCAAAGACTTCAGGGTTCAGTCAAGTCTAAAGCAACACATGAGAGTTCATACAAGAGAGAAATCATATCAGTGTTCGGTTTGTTCACAAAGCTTTTTACGAAAATCAAATCTAGAACAGCACTTTGGTGTTCATAAAGAAGACGCACCATACAACTGCTCAATGTGTACAAAAGGTTTTTCAAATAAAGCCAGTCTAAGTCGACACATGAAAGTTCATGCAGAAGAAAAGCGTAACACTGTTCAACCTGTGTAAGTCTTTCCAGGAAAATACAATAATGAAAAGAAAGATACAAATGCTCAGGTGATGTAGTTTTAGTACAGTTGATCCCCACTTAACCTAGATAGGCACTCAACAAAAAGATCTTTAAGCATTGAATACTTCAAGTGACACTCATAACCTGTAAGGCTGACCAAGATGATAATATTCTGTATCTGGCTACTGTACTATTAAATTTTAGAGGGAAGGGGGTGGTGATAAAATTTATACACTAGAGATTCACTTCCTTCTCTCATTCCCCTTACTCTCTCTGATATCAGTTCTTCCTTTCCTGTTCTCTCTCATTGTTCCCCATCTTTCCCCTTTTCCTCCTGCTGAAAGGTGACCACTGCTAGTAATGTTCTCTAGTAATGTCTTTTAATTGCAGTTTCTCATCAAATACTGTGTAGATACAATTCATAATGCAGACGCAGCTGCAAATGAATCCAGGAGAGTGAAAAACAAAGGCAGTAAGCCTGGATTCCGATGTTTGAGCACTTCCTTCTGTCACTGACTTCTACCATGGCATAACTGCTGAGTCAAACACTTACTCTCCAATGCTCTTATTTAGGAGTTTTACACCCATTGGTAACAACAGTAATAACAGCAAAATACTCTTACACATCTCTGAATTAACATCAAATTGTATTTGTTATGATGGAGGCTGATAGGAGGGACCTTGCCATCCACTAATCTGACAGTAATTTCTGCTAGTAATTTCTATTCCTTGCAAATACATATAAAAGATAATTGTAGATAAAACATATATTGGTGTAATAGATGGTAATGAGATAAACATCAGAGATACATCGAGTATTGAAGGTATTAAGTCATTTACACACTACTTAATACCTCCGGCAGCTAAGTCTTATAATGTGTTTAAACACTTTTATACGAAAATTATTATGTTTTTAACACTCCGGCCAACACCCACTGAGGTAGGGCGACTCAACAAAGACGAAACACTTTCATTATTGTTCATTCAATCACTGTATGGCCAGAAGGGTGTCGACATTACAGTTTAGATGCCCCTCCAAACTGCAATATTTCCACCACTTTTTCAGAGTGCAGGCACTATATAGTGGACCCTCGGGTAATGACATTAATCCGTTCCAGAGAGCTTGTCTTTAACTGATTTTTTCGTTATCCGAATTAATTTTCCCCATGAGAAATAATGGAAATCAAATTAATCCGTTTCAGACACCCAAAAGTATTAAGCAAAATAGTTTTTTTACATGAAATATATATTTCCCTACACAGAAAGCAATGAGACATGCAGAATAAACAATACTGAAATGACACTTACCTTTATTGAAGATGTATTGATGAGTGATGAGATGGGAGGGGGGCAGAGAATGGAGGAGTTTACAATTGTTTAGAAGGGGAATCCCCTTCCATAAAGACTTCAGATAACAAGTCCTTTTCTGGGGTTACCTCCCTTCTTTGTTTTTTAATGCCACTAGGACCAGCTTGAGAGTCACTGGACCCCTGTCACACCAAAAATCTGTCCAGAGAGCTGTGTTCCTGGAATCTTTTTAAGATTTCCCTAAAATGGGACACAACATTGTCATTGTAGATGCTGCCAGCACGGCCTGCAACAGCTGTGTCAGGGTGATGTTTATCCATAAATGTTTGCACATAAGAAAGCAGAAACACTGCAGCAGGCCTGTTGGCCCATACTAGGCAGGTCCTTCACAAACCATCCCACTAACAGAATCGTATTTGCCCAACCCAATTTTCAATGCTTCCCAAGCAATAAGCTTTGATAATTCTATTCACTTGTGCACAAGTCCCAATCAGATCAAATCATGTGTGTGTGGGGGAGTACACTGTCTGGTATGTGGGGAAGTACATACCCTTGCTGGTGTGTGGGAAGTACCCTGGCTGGTATGTGGGGGGGAAGTGCCCTGGCTGGTATGTGGTGACGTGTACTTAGCTCAGTGGTGACGTGTACTTAGCTCAGTGGTGACGTGTACTTAGCTCTGTCAGTGGTGACGTGTACTTAGCTCTGTGAAGACCTGTTTGTGTGCTCTTGAGTGGTGACCGTACTTTGAGTGCTGACCTGTACTTAACTCTGTGAAGAAGTGTCTTGTTTGCTCCTGTGGACTGAACCAAGATGCCCTCCATCGAGCAACTTTACCAGCAACTTAAGGAAGAATTGAGGGCAGCGAAGATGGAGATACGGCGATTGACCGAGGAGAACAAGAGGATTCGTAGTACTCCTCCTGTTTCGAGTCCTCAGGTCAAGAAGGGTTCGTGGTCAGTGGCTGGACAGCAGGGGACAACGAAGTTGACGATCAAGAAGACGAATGGAAAGCCAGAAACGATGAAGAAGAAAGAGACTGCTGTGGAAACTCCCGTGGAAACCTCCAACGCATTCTCGGTGCTACCCAACGAATGTGAGTCGACTACTGGGATCGTCACGACGAACGACAACAAGGAAGGTAAGAATATTGTTGTTGTTGGGGATAGCCAGGTTAGATACATGGATAGGGCATTCTGCTTGAAGGACAGGAGTAGGAGACAAAGGGTATGCTTTCCTGGGGCTGGGATGGAGGACATTGTTAGCCGGCTTGACAACATCATGAACGGTAATGGGATCAATCCTATTATTTGCCTCAGTGCTGGAGGCAATGATGTAGGCAAGCGTAGAAGTGAGGATTTAGTTAGAAAGTTCAGGACAGCTATAGACATAATTAGGAAGAAGGGGGGGGCGCCCTGTTGTATGTGGCATTTTGCCAAGAAGAGGTGTTGGCAATGAATGGTTGTCCAGAGCAATTGGTATTAATTGTTGGCTGGATAAACACTGTAAGGACAATGCAGTACCATTCATTGACAACTGGGACAACTTCTACGGCCGAAATGACATGTATGCCAGGGATGGGGTTCACTTATCCAGGGCAGGTGTGGGTTTTCTTGCTAACTCAGTTGAGGTGGTTGTTAGGACTTTAAACTAGGATTAGTTAGAGGTATGGGTTTAGAAATGATTAATAATGAGTATGGATATATTGACTTGTGCTCTGATATTAAGAATCTTAATAGTAACTGTCATGGAGTAACTCTGGGTAATGATAATTCCAGAAATTGTGTAAAAACTAAGATGAATAGGAAAAATGTGCAGAAGAAAAAACACATGATGGTATTTTATGCTAACAGTCGAAGTGCAAGAAATAAAATTAATGAACTACGTTTGGTAGCATGTGCTGGGAACTTTGATATCATTGCATTAACTGAAACGTGGTATGATTTAAAGAGTCGGGATATGACTGCTGAGTGTAATATTCAGGGATTTAAGTTGTTCAATGTGGATAGATGTAATGGGAAGGGGGGAGGAGTTGCATTGTATGTTCGAGAAAATATTAATTGTTGCATAAAAAGAGGTATAAAAATAGATGGAGCAGTAACAGAGTCTGTTTGGGTAGAGTTCGTGGAGGGTCAAGAAAACTAATTCTAGGTGTAATATACCGACCTCCAGGCTTGGATCACGATAGAGGGAGACTTCTTTGGGACGAAATTGTTAGGGCTTCTGGACACAGTAACATAGTCATAGTAGGGGACTTTAACTTTAGTCAAATTGACTGGAATTCCTTGACAGGTAATCTAGAGTCCAGTGACTTTATGGAAACAGTTCAGGACTGTTTTCTGAAACAGAGCGTAACTGAGCCTACCAGGGGTAATAATTTGCTAGACCTAGTCTTGTCAAATAAGGAAACACTCGTGAATAATCTGGAGATCACTGAAGAGCTTGGCGCAAGTGATCACAAATCCATCACTTTTAGCATTAATTGGGAATGCAAGAATAATGATAATACAGTAAAAATCCCTGATTTCGTTCTGCCGATTATAATGGACTTAGGGAACATCTGTCTAATCTTGATTGGGGTTATCTAGCTAATGATTTTATTGACGATAATCATACTTATGAATATGAAGGGATCTGCTTTTATGATTGTTTTCTTAATAATGTACACAGTGCCCAGAGTATATACATTCCCCAGAGAGAAATTAGGTCTAATAATAACGATCCCAAATGGGTTTAACAGGAGGCTAAAGCATCTATTAGGGGAGAAAAGGGGAATTTATAGGCGCATCAGAAGAGGAGAGGTTAACCTTACTGACCAATATGTTCAGCTTAAAAGAGAAGTAAAAAAGGCGATTAGAAAGGCTAAACGTGACTATGAAATTAGAGTTGCTAATGAATCAAAGACTAATCCAAAGGGGTTCTTTCAAGTGTATAGGACGAAGGTGAAGGAAAAAGTAGGACCTCTGAAAACTGGGAATGGACAGCTGACGGATAATGAACTGGAAATGTGTTCCTTATTTAATGACTATTTTTTGTCAGTTTTTACACAGAAGATGTAAATGAGATTCCAGTAATTAACAATTATTTAGTTCCTGATGAATTTAAGTTAACTAATATTACTGTCACGAGGGACATGGTTGTTAAACAGATAGACAAACTGAAACAAAATAAGTCCCCGGGACCCGATGAGTTGTTTTCAAGGGTACTTAAGGAATGCAAGATGGAGCTTAGTCAGCCATTAACGAGTGTATTCAATGCGTCCATCCTTACCAGTGTTGTGCCAGAGTTGTGGAAGATAGCTAATGTGGTTCCTATATTCAAATCAGGGGATAAATCCACTCCTTCAAATTACCGTCCAATAAGCCTGACATCTATAGTGGGCAAGTTATTAGAATCAATTATAGCTGACATTATCAGAAGTCACCTTGATGAGCATAACTTGATAAATGAATCTCAGCATGGATTCACGAGAGGTCGTTCCTGCCTGACAAACTTACTGACGTTCTTCAATAGAACATTTGAGGCAGTTGACAGTGATAAGGAATATGATATTGTTTATTTGGATTTTAGTAAAGCTTTCGATAGAGTACCTCACAAGAGACTCTTAACCCTTTGACTGTCGCGGCCGTATATATACGTTTGTGAGGTACCGTGTTTGACGTATATATACTCATAAATTCTAGCGGCTTCAAATCAGGCAGGAGAAAGCTAGTAGGCCCACATGTGAGAGAATGGGTCTGTGTAGTCAGTGTGCACCACATAAAAAAAATCCTGGAGCACGCAGTGCATAATGAGAAAAAAAAACTCCGACCGTTTTTTTTAATTAAAATGCCGACTTTGTGGTCTATTTTCGTATAGTATTTGTGGTTGTATTCTCGTTTTCATGGTCTCATTTGATAGAATGGAAACTATATTATAGAAATGGAGGTGATTTTGATTAATTTTACTATAAAAAGAACCTGGAAATGGAGCACAAAGTACAGGAAATGTTTGATTTTTGCCGATGTTCAAAAGTAAACAAATGATGTCATTTTCCAATAAATGTCCAAATAGCCATTCTAATACGCAGTCATGAATGGGTTGATGTGATTTTTACAATTATTACAGTATTGCAGTAGTCTGCATAACAGTAAATCTTCTATTTTTTGTTTGAATAAAATTTCAAAATAAAAAGCAAGAGTAATATCACAGGGACCTGGAGACATGACTGATGAACAAAGAAAATCTTATTTTAGAGCCAGGAATGTCTGCATTGTTCATTCTGGACCTTATTTTGAAATTGTCGTATTTTTTAATTTTCGTGAAATTGGCCAAATTGCAAATTTCTGACCATGTTATTGGGTAGTTGAAATCGGTAAATGGGCAGTTTCTTGTGCTCAATCGATAGAAAAAATAGAGTTCTGAAGAAATAGTTATGAGTTTGGTTGACTGGAATAACGGAATTAGCCGAAAATAGGGCTCAAAGTGGGCGAAATTGCCGATTTTTAAATATCGCCGAAGTCGCTAACTTCGCGAGAGCGTAATTCCGTCAGTTTTCCATCAAATTTCGTTTTTTTGGTGTCTTTACAATCGGGAAAAGATTCTCTATCATTTCATAAGAAAAAATAATTTTTTTTTTTTTCGAATATTTTGCGACACCAGGAGCAACTTCAGGATTGGGCCCTTCGACAGTCAAAGGGTTAAGAAAAGTGGCAGCTCATGGTATAGGAGGTAAAGTTCTAGCATGGATTGAGGCATGGCTTACCAATAGAAAGCAGAGAGTTACCATTAATGGAGTGAAATCTGAATGGGGATTAGTCACTAGTGGCATTCCACAAGGATCAGTTCTAGGCCCTCTCTTGTTCATAATTTACATTAATGACCTTGATGAAGGGATTACGAGTGACATGAGTAAGTTTGCTGATGATACAAAGATAGGCCGTATAATTCACTCTGAGGAGGACGTCAATGAACTCCAGGACGATTTGAACAAATTAATGTCTTGGTCCGAAAAATGGCAGATGAAGTTTAATGTGGATAAGTGTAAGGTACTTGCCCTTGGTAATGAAAATAACCCTCGAAGCTATAATCTAGGGGAAATAGAGCTTGGTCATACAGAAAGTGAAAAAGATTTGGGAGTCATGGTAAGCAGAAATCTAAAGCCAAGACAGCAGTGCCTTAGTGTGCGCAACAAGGCCAACAGATTACTTGGATTTATCTCAAGAAGTATAAGTAACAGAAGTCCAAAAGTTATTTTACAGCTCTATACATCACTAGTGAGGCCTCATTTAGATTATGCTGCTCAGTTTTGGTCCCCTTACTACAGGATGGACATAGACTCATTAGAGATACAGAGAAGAATGACTAAAATGATTTACTGTGTAAGGAACCTCCCGTATGAAGATAGACTTAAAGCCTTAAATCTCCACTCTCTGGAGAGGCGTAGAATGAGGGGAGATATCATTGAAGTGTATAAGTGGAGGACGGGCATGAACAAGGGAGACATTAATAAAGTACTGAGGGTGTCGAATCAGGTAAGAACCAGGAATAATGGATTTAAGTTGGATAAATTTAGATTTAGAAAGGACATAGGTTAGTACTGGTTTTCTAACAGAGTTGTAGATGCGTGGAACAGTCTTCCCAGTGGGGTGATAGAGGCTAGGACCTTGGGTAGCTTTAAGAAGAGACTGGACAAACATATGAGTGGGAGGGGCTGGGTTTGATTGGTGTCAAGGGGTACCGGAGTTATTTCTTGAGTAGCTTTAGGTAGATGTCGTTTTGATAAGGACCTGCCTCGTATGGGCCAGTAGGCCTTCTGCAGTGTTCCTACATTCTTATGTTCTTAAGTACCCTTGCTGGTATGTGAGGAAGTACCCTGGCTGGTATGTGAGGAAGTTCCCTGCTGGTGTGTGGGAAGTACCCTGGCTGGTATGTGGGGAAGTACCCTGGCTGGCATGTGGGGAAGTTCCCTGGCTGGTATGTGGGAAAGTACCCTGGCTGGTATGTGGGGGAAGTTCCCTGGCTGGTATACATAAGAAAGCAGGAACACTGCAGCAGGCCTGTTGGCCCATACTACCACTCTCTACCACCTTCACTACCACCACCACTACCACCCTCTACCACTACCACTTTCATATCTTTCTACAAATTTTTTCTTGAATTCTATAGCGTTTCTCACCCTCTTTACCACAGGGCTCGCACTAGAAGCTTTCTTTGGGCCCATGGTGACTTATTTAGCAGTTACACACATGAAAAAATGGAATAATACAAAATGTATTGCATGTTCGCGTGGATTCGTCCTCACCGGCTTGTAAACAATGGCACTAGCTGTACATGGAGTGTCTTGGCCACTCATACCGCGCTGACACATTTGGGATGAATGTCCTTAACCGAGTTCTTTTTCAGTAACCGAGCCAATATTTTGACGCAAAAATGTGTCGCTATCCGATTTTTCCGTTATCCAGTGACGTTGTTACCCAAGGGTCCACTGTACTTCCCACCTCCAGGACTTGAGTCTGGCTGACTAGTTTCTCTGACACTCTTCATAAATGTTGCATTGCTCAAATTCCAAAAGCACATCAAATCATAAAAACCATTTGCATCCACTCCTGTCTAACATGCTAGCACAAGCCTGTTGGATGTCTGAGCCCCTAGCACTCAAAATGTTCTTTACCAGATCCCCCAAATATTTCCTAGGATGATCCCAACCTGTCCTTCCCTCCACAAAAGTTTTAATGCCCTCCTAATCACATTTTTTCCATCCTCTCTAAATGTTCAGACTACCTCAACAACCCCTCTTCAGCCCTCTGAATAATAATAATAATTACTACTACAATCTTCCTCTTAATCTCCAAACTACAAATTTAATAATGATAACGCTGCTTTTTTTTAATCGTCCATTTTTCCATTTGTTATGAGAGAGATGGAGTGGTTTAATGAGTGTAGGTTAGTACAGTCAAGTTCCACGCACCACTACTGTCACTGCTACACCCACACACCACTACTATCACTGCTACACCCACACACCACTACTATCACTGCTACCCCCACACACCACTACTATCACTGCTACACCCACACACCACTATCACTGCTACACCCACACACCACTACTGTCACTGCTACACCCACACACCACTACTGTCACTGCTACACCCACATAACTACCTCTTACTACATCTACATTAAATTGTAGTACAGTGTATGCTTGTTTGGTGTAGGTGCCATGGATTCCCATTTATTTTGTACAATATTTTCAGTAATTGTTTGTGTTTATATTATGTATGGGATTGATGAGGAAGATTTTCACAGTTATATTGTTTTTTAAATAAATATGTTGATTTTTTTAACCCTTAAACTGCCCAAACAAATCTACATTCACATGCGTAGTGCTCCAAAAGTAGATCTACGTTTTTTTACGTATTTTCATATACAGTAGGGCCCCGCTTTACGGCATTTCACTTTACGGCGTTCCGCTAATACGGTCATTTCAAATTATGACCAAAACTCGCTATACGGCTCCCCCCACCTGACTTTCTAATATGGTCACTGAGCCCCACCTGGTTTGTTTACATTCTCTGTGAGATCCGTAAGCACTAAGTCTCTCCATTATGTCTGGAAACTCCAAAATTTTAAGTGTTTTTAAAAGTTATTTCATATTTTATATGTAATCTGATAATTATACTTATGTATACCTGTACTTAAATAAACTTACGTACTGTGCTGGCATGCAGGTACACATTAAAATCAGTAA